GTTGAGCATACACAGTGTACCAACTGAACCTTTCTGTATGTTTAGGTGTGAAGGTTAGAGCACACACACAGTGTACCAACTGAACCTTTCTGTATGTTTAGGTGTGAAGGTTGAGCACACACACAGTGTACCAACTGAACCTTTCTGTATGTTTAGGTTTGAAGGTTTAGCACATACAGACACAAAGTGTATGAAATTAACCTTTATGTATGTTTAGGTGTAAAAGTTAACTACACACATACACACAATGTACCAAATAAACCTTCCTATATGTTTAGGTGTTAAGTTTTACTACATATATATAAAGTGTACCAAATGAACCTTTCTGTACCTTTAATTTGTAAGTGTTTTACTAGCAATATAACATGCAAGCAATTTATCTATCATCTGAAACACGTGTACTTTTAATGGATGAAAACTAAGCTTTTTACATTGACAAAACGAGAGAAATTGGAAATATTATTCACACCATAAAATACTTACCAGTAATACAAACTTGAGATGCACCCATTGCCTTAGCTGTTAGTAAATTTAGTATTCCTATTGGTCCTACAGAATATAAATTGTGCTGTTAAAGCTAAAATACACAAAACCACACTTGATTATATACTCTAGATACAAGATATTATTTACAGTATGATCCAGTTAATGCAGACTGTGTACTTTATGTTTGTTTATTACACAAATATACTTAAAACATTAATGACTTCATTTCTTAAAATGATGAAAAACAATGGCTGTCAAAAACCCTGACCATTGAAAATATTCAAGAAAAGAGAAAACCAAAGTTCTGAACAAGAATAAGAACTGTATATGTAAAAGGCTAATAAACATAAGAGTTAAAGTAACTACACTCTCAAACCAGTACTTATTTTCTTAGCAATAAACAATTTGATTCAAACATAACAATTAATGAAATATATATATATAATTTATATAACAGCTATCATCATGATTATCACTGCTATGGTATTAGAAATTTAAAACATGATAAACTATGAGCAACTCAACGAGAAGAAGAAAAGCATACAACTTCTAAAAGATGGTGGTTCTCAGGCACTTCTGACACTTAACTATCAAGTGCATTACAACTGTTTTGGGCTATGAGAAGCAAGATCTTACAAGAAAATACTGAAAAGCTAGAAATGCATATAGACAAAGATATTAAAGTTAAATAAATTAACATTTTGAACATTTCTTTTTCTTTTATCTTGAATTGATGTTTATCTTGGCTGAAAAAATTTAATTTCAAAATCATTGTCTCATATTACAAAACAGAGTTGAAGAACCAGTGAAATTTAGTAATCAATTAATTGTTGAACTCTTACACCTAATCAATTATTCGCACACGAGATGGCTAAGAAAACAAAATTTATAACACTAAAAATCGAGTTTTGATACTCATGGTTGACAAAGGACAGATAGCCTTTTGTGTACATAATCATTCATTAATTATTCATGATAATATCTCAACTACTTGAATAGTTGGAATAATCAAAAATAGTAATAACCAGAACCCCTAAATTTTGGTTAGGTGCTTATTGTCATGAGTCATGATGATAAGAAATTAAGACGAACAAACTTGAATTAATTGAGAAAATAATAATGAAAAATCATAATGGAAATATATTTAATTACTGTATGGTTTGAATGATCAAAACCAGTGATAATCTGAAACACTAATTTTAATGAGTTAATTATTTTCATGACAATAATTAATTTACTCATAATTTTGATTACTGGATAGTTAGAATAACCAAAAACAGTAATAATCAGAAACACTAACTGATTATTTTTAACTTAATCATAATTTTGATTAAGTGATTATTTTATGTGTCATTAATCAATGTAATTGATGCTACTATATAATAGATAATATGTTGATTAATTGAGTTAATTATCCAGCTCTGTTACAGAAACATGTATTTTGTAGTATTAACTAAAAATACCTGTTGATTTTTTAACACATAAACTTTGAAAACTGATCTACAAAAAGTGATACTTTTGGACATTTCTTACTGCATTCCTTACTAAACAAAATATATTACAAATAGCATACTAATCGTATATCTATTCACATGCATTTCTTCGATGCTTAATTGCTTAAAGCATCATTAATAAATGTGAAAACACACACACACACACATTTCAATTCGAATTACATAGAAAAGAAAACACAAGATGGATTTGCTCAAGAACTAAATACGTATAAAAAAGTACACGTATATCATGAAGTAAAATATTATATCACATTCATCTGAGCCATAGTGTTATAAAATTACAAATACTAACCTGTTGTAAACAATAAAACAAATTTTGATAATAAGAGTTACTATTACAAATCCCTCTGGAGCCTTACCACATACTAATCCAAATAATCCAGTCATTATATATATTCTGCTCCTCTTTCATTGCTTCACTAACAATCAGAGTGCAGAAGAATATGAAATGACAGGATTATTTGGGTTAACCATATATCCAGTAAAAATATATAATACAAACCTGCTCCACACACCAAAACTTTCATTCCTGCAGTAACTCTAGCTCTCTTGCAGGCATGGACAGCACAAGAGAGAGGCTCTAACATAGCTCCTTCATCTAAACTCACATTATCAGGCAACCTACACAGAAAATTAAGTAAAAAAAATAATAACACACTAACTCAAATAATTAGGTTATTTAACATTGAGTCTAAAATTACCTGACCCACAAAAACTATACTCTACCAAGTTCAAACTCTCATATTACATTTATGTGCTACAAGAACGGTGTAGAGATTAATTATATTAAATTACTTTTAATTATAAAAGCTTAAAAATTCTACCAAAGTCCACTCTTAACCTTTGTGTACAGCATTGCTCAATTGTACAAATCACATTTCACAAAGTTACATTTACAGTCCACTTAAACAGCTTCATTATCAATGTATGTCAATAAATTTGTCATCAGAATGTAGTTTACTATCCAAATTCAGGTGGTAAATGCTGCTTCGTGTCCTATTTAGTATCAGTTTTCACTTCTGCAGAAACAATTCCATGTTATTCAATTCCAATGAGATCAGAGAAGAGAGATTCCCGGAAAGCTGAATGGTATACAATTTTTGAAAAAAATCTACTTGTCCAAGGGACAATATGCTAGAAGTATCTATTTATTCTTTTTAAAAATGTATTTGATCTCTTACAATCTCAAAAACACCCACACAAATTAAATATATCTTTCAGGATTTCATTTTTGTTAAACAATGAACAACAGTCAAAATTGCTGGGCTCATTCAGTCTGTATTCATAAAGGTGCTAACTTCAAAAATAACGACATAGTCAGTTCTCAAAATAACTGCATACTCAATAGCAATAAGAGGACTAAAAATAACTTTTGACCAAAAGGTCTTCAACAGAAGACAATCAATTAGCGATTAACAATATTTTTTGCTTCATGACAGTAAGTAAAGAACATGTAATTCGGTCCAAAGATATCTGCCAAAACTGAACACTTCTAATTTTTGTGCATGACAGTAAGTAAAGAACATGTAATTCGGTCCAAAGATATCTGCCAAAACTGAACACTTCTAATTTTTGTGCATGACACATGGTAAAACAAAAAAAAATAATATTTTTTTCTTTCTTGTTCAAGTTTGGGTTATATTTACATAAATCATTATACCTTTCTGCTTACATGGAAGTTGGTTTCTTTACTACAGCTATATACAAGTTACATGTTGGAGTAGTTATTTAAATCATTTACTTTAAAAATGAATTTGGCAGAGCACTCCATATTCCACCTTGTTTTATTTTTTTTTCATCACCCATTTCACTCATACAATTTTACGTGCTCGAATATAGTTAGACACTACATTATCAATGATGTTTTATGTTTCCTTACACATTTATTTACTGTACAGATAATACACATAATTTATATGTTATCTATCAGGCTTTTTGATAAAGTATTTATTTTAAAAAGTGAGGTGTTGAAGCATTCTAATAGTTCATATTTATTCTATATCCAGAGATTGCATTAACATACAATTCTGCTTTATACGTGCAGGAAATTCTAATAAAATGCAAAACAATAAGAACATCGTGTTCCTAAAATGCAGATGTAACAAGACCTACTGGTTCAAATGGCTAATTGTTTTTATGTAATTCAACATGGAAATACTCCATGCATCATTAGAAAAAAAAAGACTCGGATGTTTATATCCAAAAGCAATAGCAGTTCAATAACAAGGAGCAAATTAGCCAATTTAGGTTTGGAAAAGGCATTCACACCATAACAATTTTTTTTATACACATAATTATTGCAATAGGTGAGTGATAAGTGAAAATCTTTCACCATTTCTAAATGCTCAACGAAGCATTACTATTTGCATGTTAACTTAACTGATCTGAAACCATGTTTAATTGGGAATTAGCTATCTAAATACAATATGAAAAAAAATTGTAGAAAGTGTGTGTTTAAAAACCACAAATTTTTAAAGGCTAGTGCACCTTCTGACATTATGTTATATTTACGTTTGTAATTTGCCAGATTAAAGGTTGTTGTTTTTTTATTTTGCATATTTATGCTTGTGCACTAAGTGTTAAGTGCAACATAACTGTTTAGTCTTATGACACAGTAACTTCAAAGTTGTATTAAATATATAATTAAGTAAAACAAAACTACTTGTCAGATGGGCAAACTATTATGCTAAAATTTGTTGTTTAACACATCAGGCAATATAAAATGGCCATTCCTGTTAATATTTACTAGTAACTGTTTAGTTTAGAGATGGGAGAGTCAACTGATTACCTATAAGTAGCAATTACATCAGTTAGTGTCACATAAACGAATTGATTAATCAAAATTACAATTAATCAATTAAATGTTTCCAACTATTATTGTATTAAATTATTCCAACAATCAATAAATTTAGATGTTTTATAATTACTAATATTTTCCATAATCAAAATGTCTCTTATGTTGCCTATCACAAATATAATCAACCAATCTAAATTAAAATTTTGAATTACTATTTTCAACTACTCCAACTAACTGCTATTATGTTTGTTTGTTGTTAAATACAAAGCTACTTAAAGGTCTATCTGTGCTCTGCCCACTTTTAGCCTTATAAGATGTTCTTTGTTTTACTTCAAGTTTGTTCACCTTTGGTGATCGGGTAAAGGTACTAAGGCTATCTGCAACTGTCACTAATTTTGAACTGTTGACTATAAGGGAGGCAACTGTGTGGCAGCACCTGGAATCAATTTTTTTAATTCAACTGCTGTTTAAAGAGAAGGCAAGTGACATGCAACACCCACTGCAAACTTACTTTTATTTTATTTTTCCTTGTACTAGTTGATAAATCGATTAACAAATACCACTAATCACTTAACGATACTGTTCATAGAGTTCACAAATTAAACAACAATACATCGCAAAATGTTTCATTCACAGTCTAATATACAATATTTTTTTTTTACCTGTCTTTGTAAAGCACAGTCCTATATGGCTACAAAAATGGACTAACTGAAATTAATTCAAACAAAAAGAAGTTTGACATTAATATAATTACACTGTTATCACTCAACCATGATACCTCTGTTCCATGTTATATGCTGTTAACAGGAAATTGGGCACCTGATTATGAGAAATAGTAAAAAAACAAAAATGTTTTGGACAGACCACCCCTCTTCCCCTTTTCTGGAATGCTGTTTATTCACATACTGAGCATCATAGGTTATAATACTGATCCTTTCGAAACTTCACGTCTTTATACAGCAAAAAGATTGTCCATCATTTAATAATACTCTTAATCTAACAAGAATCAAGACAATTTAGAATGCACTCCTACATATTCCAGTTAATATACACTGGATGCCACTTATTGTGATCACTTTGAGACGTAGTTGTGTTGTTAACAATAACCGAATGATAATGTTAACCGATGAAATAAAAATTCAGCAGTTGCAGTAATATTTATTGATAGAGGGTAGTAAACATATTACGTAAAAGTATGAAAGCTGGATTTTTACATTTATTGACAATTAAAACAAGAATTAGAAAAATTAATTTAAAGTTGACTGTATTATTTTTTTGGAACAATTCATTAATAAAACTTTCATATTCATACTGTTTTTGAAACTCGCCTTATATGTGCTGTAAGTTGCTTTCTGCCACATCATTGGTCCATTTACATGAGCATCTTGTTCAAGCACATTAGTAAACCAAAGTTTTAATGATGATTTGACCTGGTCATCTTTTCCACTGTGCTTTCTCTTACAGTTTAAGTTTTCATTCTGTTTTGCTCCCCTCTCAATGTCGGGTCAATTTTTTAAAATTTTATACAAAAGAGGATGGGAAATTTTTAATTGCACTGCTGCATTACATTGCCCCATTTTTGGTAACTTATCATAGCATCCTAAAATGGAAACTTTTTCTTTAAAGGTTAGGTCTTTATGTTTCTTATGCCCTTCTTCCATTATTAAAGAGGGATAAAAAAAATTAAAATTTGTTGGAGCACCATCTTTCTTGAAGGAATGAAAACAACTGTACTGTAGTTCTGGAAAGAAAATGCAAGAGATAGGGGACTTTAATAACAACTTAGCCACGCCCTATTTTATGGTGAACCTTCCTCAGGTCACTTGACCTTAAGAAGGTTAATTAGCTGATTAAAAGTGATAACACAAATGAAGCACTGATTGCAATAAAAGATATTTTTCCTATGTATTTTTATACATTTGTTCAGGACTTAGTAATTCTGATAACATTATATGAATGATAACATTATCCATTATCACAATAAGCAGCATGCAGTACATAAACATTTTGTGAGTCATCTGATCAAACCCCTTCTAAAAGTTAGTTAGTTAGTTGGGTTTTTTTTTTTTGCTTTATTTTGTTTAAAACTACTTAAGGACCATTAATAACACTAGCTGTCTCTAATTTTCAAGTGATAGAATAGAGGAAAAGCAGTATGTCAAAATACTCACTGCCAACTCTCGGGCTACTCTTTGTCAATGAATAGTGGGGTTGACCACCACATTATAATGCTCCCATGGCTGAAAGGGTGAGTATATTCAGTAACAGGTTTTGATCTCATAAACTCACAGATTGCGAGTCAAGTGCCCTAATCACCTGACCATGCCAGATCCCTACTGAAAGCCATGGTAATGTTAAAAAGCCTCTGTATCCCATATATCCCCCATAATCAAGGAAATATTTATAGATCAATTCTAAAGCCAGCAACAGTTCCTTATTGACTGCTTAGTAGATCTTATCAAGATCATAAACTTTATAATTCAAAGACTTTTAATTCTTTAAAACAACACATTAAATTCTATAGTCCTAATCAGTATCATCAAGAACTGCTATTTCATACCACCAAAATCTCCTCATACCCCTATGTAGCAAAAACACTTTTTCAGTACACCAGCCAAGAGTGGTATTGGTAGCTAAGGTATGTGTATCACTGTTAACACACAATGGTCATAAATCCCATTCATTGATTTCTTGCCATTCCTATACCTTTAAAACTTTTTAGATACAGCAAGTTAACAGTCATTCTTGGTCTAACCTCATTCTGTTTACTTCTGGAAACATTCTGGACCATTACATGTTACAAAAGGAGTTCAGAATTGGAGGGAGAATAGCCTGTGCTTTGAACAGTGCTAAAAACTTCTCAAGCACATAGCCCATAACTGGAAACATTCATACAAGTTTTAACATATTACATCCTGACTTATGCTAGTAATGTTTGAAATTACTGATGAGTACAGATATTATGAGACAAGCTTAAAAGCATGTTCTGATAAAAAAAACTGTAAATTTTAATAAACAATAGTTTTCTCACTTGTAACAAAGATCAGCAGGGTGTGTATAAAAACGTGTAAGAGTTCCATGGACAGGAGGTGTAGCACAAAATTTTATATCTGGACACAAGTTGTAACGACCACACTTGCAAAATTTACATTTTCTGCAAGGAATGCCTGGTTCAATAGCAACTCGATCTCCTTCAGATAAATAATATTTACATTCACTACAATGGTTTATAATACTTCAGTTATTAGCATATGCACTATAGTAAAAATTTATTTTATCAATGAAGCCACATACAATACATTTACATTTGTTCATGAACGTTCATGAGATTTTAATTTTGTTTTCAAATGTTTATTTAAGATGATTAAAAAATCTTCATGAATTCTTGTACTTCTTATAAAAAGCTGAGAAAGTTAAATAAGCATTCTCCACATCTTATATATAATAAGATACTTAATGGTAAGTAAACATATACCATATCATTTACATTAGTAGCATTTAAATTTCAAACAATACTCGATAAACAATTTTTAGCCTAGCTCAGGATCACTAACGAGGCTTAGTATTCACAAAAATACTTAGCCCCCCCCCCTCCAAGAAAGGGCTAAAACAAATAGATTCATCTTGTCAACATCTTTTTCATTAACAAGTGCCGACTGCTTAGTACTGACCAATCTTGAAAATGGTTATCTTCTATAAACAACAAAGAAATAATTAAGAGGAACACAACTACTGATAAAAAATATAGCATTTAAAAATATTTTCAATATCTACTATTTTACCAGTTTTTTATAACTCAGCATTAAGAATTTAATTTCTTTTATAACTACAATTAAAACATGTTACCTGGCTTTAAATCAGTAACTCCTTCCCCAACTTCTTTAACAATACCACTTGACTCATGCCCCAACACCATTGGCTCTTTAACGATAAAGTCTCCAATACATCCATTTACCCAGTAATGGACATCAGAACCACATATTCCAACAGAATGAATAGCAATCAGCACTTCTAAGAATTTGATAAAGGAAAATTAATGAACAGGCATATAGGTTAATCTTCATATATATATTATTCTTATTAACTTTGCTAAACTACATTAATCAAATCAAGGTTGTTATGATCATCTCATTCTTTATCGTGTAAGTATTGTACATTTATTTGAATTTTTTTCTTAAGACACTGAAAATAACATGAACACATAAATAGAAAATAATATGAACAAAAAAATGAGCTTCCTAACTACTATTTTGTTTTCATTAGAGTAAACTCTCTCACATATTATTTCAGACCCTGTCTTTAGATCTGAAGTTGACACATGTATGACTCAGAAATGAATGTTGAGGAATATTTAGGAATTAATGACCAAGACAATATAATCAACTTTTGTATTACACTGTGTTCAGTTTCAATATTTTTCTATAAAAGCAATATTTCTCTACTAGGGATTGTGTTGAGGACTTCTAGAATGTTTCCTAGTTCAACTGAAATGGGTTTTTAAAACTAAATACAAGCACCAAATATTTTTTGCAACATAAAAGAATTGGATCAAATTTTATTTTGTTATTCCAAATAGTTGAAAAAATGGCCAAATATCCAGCTAAAACTTCTGCAGGCAGCAAAAACAAACTTAATTCAAATAGGAAGACCAAAACATTAAAATATATTGATGTGAAAAGAAGATTTTTGAGGTAGAAACAAAATATATAAAAATAATTTGCGATCATAATAAAAACAGGCAGTTTCTACACACCATCTTTTCCTGGCTTTGATATTGGTCTCTGTTCCTAAAATGTAAAAGAATCTCACATTTCAAATAAATCAACTTATATAAAAATATACAATATCATAAACAATACTATTATAAAAGTAATGTAAAAAAAATCTAATTTATTATGCAGCATTTTTACCTAACAATGACTGATCCCCTAAACAAATAATTATATACCATTAATGCATCACTGTATAGTAGGTTCACTCCAATATTTGAATGTTTAACATTATTTTGAATATGGGGAATAAACACCAGAATGTTTATAAACACTCAAAGTTATACCATAAACAAAGTATTTTTGGTCATTGATGTAAAAGTTATAAGACTGAAGGAAAAAGAAAAATATATCAAGAAACCATCAAACAACTTTGTCAAATGAGGATGTCCCAAATTCTGACAACATAAGTATTAAACATGAAGCAAAAGTGTACTTGTGACCTTCAACATTAAAGCTACCACTGCTAGCTGAATCATATCATTCTTATCAATATCAGTCCAATACAAGAGTAAACATGCTTCTGGGATGCAGTTATGGAAATTTCTATTTAATGTCTATACATAGTATTCAGGTTTGTCAAAAAATATGTTTCTTAGAATCAAGAAATTCGGTATTTACTTAAAATTAGAAAACTTTAATAGCAGTAATTTCAAATATGATCTTAGTTACTACAAATACATACAACTAACAATTTTATAACTTTTTAAAACATGTTTTGCAGTTTTCAGTGCACTTTAGATGTTTTCAACATTCTTTAAAAGAAGGTTGTTTTCTACATTATAAATCATAATAAGCACTATTTAACAATATTGTTGAAAGTTGCTTTAATTTAAAATTTTCATAAAACATATATTACTGCTTTACAACTATACGCGTTTTCTTTCCTTTAACACATATCTTAATTTGTGTGTCATTACTAAATACTTAAAATAGTGTTCATTACATACTACAAATACTAAAATATTCATTTCTTAAAACGAAAAAATTACCAGTCGTAAATCTCCCTTTTGTGCCAAAACCGCAGAAAGATTGTTTTTACTCATTGCTGCTGAATAATATATTTCGTAAAGTAGTCACAAATTTTCACTGCGTTACAGAATTAAATCTTAAAGTATTAAAGTTTAACTTTAATAGATAATAGTTATTAATATTACTCCCAATGCTACTAGATTCGACCTTCTAACGCTTTTTGGTATACTAGTATGAAAAGCAGTAATAGCGATAATGATGGGAGTTGCAATACTAAGAACCAAGCCCAACCAAATTGGATCTGTATTTTGGAATTCGCCCAACTACGTGAAACAAATATTCCAAATCACGCGCTGGCCCTTCTTGACCTGTGATCCAAGGTCAATGGATAATTTTCTGCCATCTATTGACAGATGTAGCAAACTCGTTTTATGATAATACATTTTTGAATTGTTTTTGGAGGCGCCATTGGTTCACTCGAGTATACAACATTTTGACAGCAGAGGGAATTTAGAGATTTCAGAAGCAACGGTAAAAGAATCGGTAATAGTAAATTCGTCCAAGATGAGGGGTTTAAGAACAAGAATAATACATTTTGACAGGTTGTAATTGCAGGAGCCTACAGCTGAAAAAATAGGGCAGAGAGGGCATCCAGTTTTCTGCACTTTGGGTAAGCCATAAAGAATACCAGGTTTAGTTCCACATGAGCCAATTTGTTGAAAAGTCGTTTCAAAGGTAATATTTTGGCTTTTAAGGTCTTAAGAAAACGTACGATCTTATCTTCTCACTTAAAGGTGAAGGATAACAAGTCTGTATCTAGTTGTTGTTTTTTAATTTACAAGGGTCATTGAGCTGGTGGTTTATTTTATCAATATAATCAGCTTTTTTAATAATGCCAATACCATTACCTTTGTCTGATTTAGTGACAATAATATATTTGTTTTTTGACAGATTTTGTAAAAAGCTTGTAGTTCAGCATCATTTAATGGAAAGTAGGACGATATGAGTTATATAAAAGGAGGAAAGAGCAATGCTTTTTAGTTTAGTTTTTACAAGATCTTGCGCTGTATCGTTATTCGGCTTAGTAAAGAATGATAAGGAATTAAAGGTTCTGTAAGACTTTCCAAAATGATAAATATCATTAGCATAGTTATGTTTAAAAGCTGGAATGCTAAAATTAAGGCATTTGCTTAGAGCTTGTTTACAAATATCAGTTGAAGATCATTAAGATCAGATATTACCTTTTCAGGATTAAAGTTGAAGATCACTCAGACTAAGTATTACATTATCAGGATTAAAGTTGAAGATCACTTCGACTAAATATCACATTATCAGGATTAAAGTTGAAGATCACTCAGATTAAATATTACATTATCAGGATTTAAACCTGGAGAGGAAGGTGGATAAAATCTTAGTTTTTTTTAAGTTTTCTATTTTGGATCTGTACCTGTATGGCTATTATTTTCTGGTTATTCTTATTATATAATAAGCAGGTCAAATGGACAAAATCAGTACACGAAACGTACTATCGGAGATCTTGGTTTTTCGTGATATAGGTTAGATAGATAGATGTCGGTAGTACTTATGTTTCAGTTTATTAAATTCTTCCTCTAGAAGTCGGCGTTGGCAGGCGGCGTATGCAGCTGAATTCTAGAGTTTTTCCATTTGTTACTTTTATGGGTTCACAATCCCTACAAATTAAAAACGAATCTCCTTTTTAATAAAAAAGAACTTCTAACCTCAAATTTAGCTCAGTCTAATATATAGACCCAGCCTCCGCGTTAAACACTTATTTCAATATAAAGATCGACTAACTAAACTTCTATGTTCATGGCTCGTGTATAAGTATACATGTAAAGAATGTAAGGTCACTTACATTGGCAAAATAAAACGTCACTTTAAAACTAGTTTGTGAGCATTTAGGAGTCTAACACAACCGAACGTCCACTATTTAAACCCGGCTACTCATCCATCTGTTAACATGTTGAAACCACGGGGTCACAAAATTTCATTTAACAACTTCTCTGTCATTACTACACGATCTTCAGACCTTAAACTCTACATTAAAGAAAGTTTACTCATTGCTAAAAACCGCCCTACTCTTCACGAGTTACAAACCTCTTTAGATCTAAACTTATTCTAAGGTTAAAACTGAAAACTCAACTGTTTCGTTATATATCTATATCATTTGTTTTATCCTTCCGTTTGCACTTTACTTAATTTCTAAGTAAATAGTGATTAATAACACTATAGTTGTGGTTAATAAATATCTTTGTAACATTATTTTCAGATTTCGCTGACGATGGAATAAGTGTATTCTGAAATGTTCGAACCTTGTAAATAAAATGTTTTGTATTTTGTCAACCGTCTTCATCTTTATTATTAGACGTGATAACTCTCACTACAAATACTGAACAGAATCACTCACTCACTGATAATTCATATTGATAATGTACTCTTATTTCTCCAAATTCCGCGAAATTTCTAGGTTATTACATCATCATTAACTTTTTGGGTATTCTGCAACTACTTTTATGAACTTTCTTTATTTGGCGTCATCATCGTGATTAGCAACTCCCTCTAACAAAACAACTAAGTTATAGTATTGAAAATACACGCCATTGATTGTGAAGTCCTTTGAATTATCCCGATACACAAATAAAACAGTACATTAAGCTGTCCATTCACCAAGTTGTTTTTTTTTTTGGTGTTTTTCTCTTCTGATCACAATGGTATACAGATTGGATGATTTCTTGTCCCTCGCTGCCCTGTTGCTGGTGGAGTTCTTCCTAAGTAGGTGTTTGAGTGAAACCACTGGAAGGGTTAACCTTGTTCATCTTCCATAAAAGGTCTCAAAAGGAACCTTGGGCTCTTCCACAGGTTAGATTTCCGCTGGCAAATTCTTCTCTGTAGTTACTCAGAGAATCATGGTGGAAGAACATTAACTTGGACTGTTTGTCTTTATGGATTCTTTAAACCATATCGTTGTTTGTTTTTTTAAGTACAATGTATGGGCCTTCCCAACATCTACTTAGATTTGGAGTTCATCCTTTCTTGCAACAAGAATTGTTCAGCTGTATCATGTCATCTCGAAGAAATCCAGTCTTATCAGCATATTAACATAATAGTAACTCTTCATTTCATCACAAGCTAATTTAAGTCTTTTCTGGGTAAAGTCATGTATGACATTTTTATTCTTTAAATCCACAAGAGCTCTTCCAGCCATTAATTCCTCAGAACATGCACAAGTGTTTGATTCTACTATGCCCCAGACATTAGATTTAGACTTATTCCTAATAACTCTTGATTATAAGTATTTACTTTCTTGTTGGTACAATGGCCACCCTTTCTGTTGCCACTAGAAGTTCAATATCTGGTGTAATTATTGGCATGTAGTGCACAGAGATTCCCTATACTGTGAAGCTATAAATAGCTAGCCTAACCAACCTCGCATCCATGTATCAGCATGAAGTCAGTTCCCATATGTACTTTTCATTGACCTCAATTACGTATACATTATGAGATGTAGAGAAACTTTCTACAGTAAGAGTAACTGTCAACTTTTCTCTTGCTGTAACTTTATGGTTCCCTGCTTTTCACACCAGTCTCTGTTCATATCTGAAGGCAACTTCCCACCTTTCATTAGCAAACGTGGTCAAACAATTATAATTATGGGTCTGATGTTGCTCAACACATTGCAATGTTTTCAATTAATAAACCTGTGGATTCGTGGACAGTTTTCCCCCAAATAATGAACTTATTATCTTAGATGGAGCGGATGAATTATTCCCATTTGAACTTCGTCCAACAAATCAAGCTAATTTGTATTTTCTTGATGTCTGATTAGCTGTTTGTTGTTCCTTTAATCTGGTTGAGTTCTGTCTCCTTGGCTTAATAACAATTGTTGTTTCCTTTGTTTTTGGCTATAATTGCCATGTTTTCAATATGAATAACTGTTCCTTCTTTCTGATAACTTTTAAGAGAAGTTATAATGCAATACAGACTTTTGTCTCTGGCTCCAGGCAGTATGTCCTTTCAAGTTTAACTTTAAACATCTAATGTCTTGTTGCTTATTTCCTCTATTCCGTATAACTAATTTTTCAGTTTTCTAGACTATTGTTAGAGGGATTTACTACATTGTATGATAATCCCATAACTTCAAAATATGCATGTTATTGGTGATTTTAATGGATTCAAGTTTTGCAGACCTTCCCTTAAAAATATACACCACCTTAGCTTCTTCCTAATTCTTATGCTTTATCTATTATGGCATCTATAAATAAGTCACGTGCAAGCAAATCCATCATTTTATGCAAAACATCTGGGTAGGATAGCTTAGCAAGCTGTTTCAAATGTGCAGTTATTTCTAACTCAATCTACTAATATTTCTTCCATAATACCTTTCCATCATAGTCCATTGGTTTCTCAACTGGGTGATTTTGTTGGAGTGATCAGCTAAATTATAGAAATGGATTTAGAGGTGATATGGCTGAATTAGTCCAGAATGATTCTGCAGTAACAGAGGGCAAACTAGTAGTGGTAATAGGTGTAGACCAAATAAATTCTCTTATTCTATATTTTGTAGTAAATGGTGTTTGAGATTGGAATTCTTTGTCAGATGCAGAGAGAGATGTACTGGTTTTTCTTTGCCTTTATCAATTCATTTCCAAATATTTTATCCTGTCATTTGTTTATTTTGTACTTCTTCAATTATGTCATAACAGCCTTTCTGTGCTTTGATATTCACTGATATTTTTCTATGTTGTTTCAAAAATGTTGTTATAAAACCTCTGTACATACCCAATAGCTTCATGGATCTTGTCTTCAATCAGATTTTTTTTTGCTTTTAATGTTTTCAAGTATTATGTCTCTTTCTTCTTTCACCTCCTCTCTTTAATTTTCGTATCTTACGTCTTAATCTTCATTCAGATTTCTATAAAGTTCTTCTTGATCTTATTTTAATTTACTATCTATTTCTTCTTGATCTCCTTTACATAATTTCATCATTTCCAGCAAAGTTTCGATCCAGATTGTACTCTTGAAGTGTAAAGTTTAGTCAAAGTTCTGTTTTATTTTCACCATATAATTCCACTTCTGAATTGGTGTTATAATATATTTTATCTTCAGACATGTTGTTTTGGATTCCTTGGTAAAAATAATGCCAAGTCCAGTATTTAATTACTCCATAAGGTTTCTTTAGACTAGTTTCACTCTGATACAGGTTGTAGGCCTAAGTTCACAACAATGTTCCGACAGAAATTCCTCGTTAATGGTACTATTTCAAATTTAGAAATAAATTTACTTACAGTTACATAATTCCTTTGCTAATCTATGATCAGTGACCTTAATACATATGATAACTCACTGAATTCGCATTAAATCTTCACCCACTGATTACTCAAATTTATAATGTAGTTTCATTTCACTATATTTCG